ACATTGTAAAAGTGCACACTTACATGTACATTTACAAACCTCTTTGTTAGTGAGCAGTTCATCCATAAATCCTGTTTCCATTTGTTAGGCTACCCCAAGAGTTAAAACTGATTGAAGGATCATCAGCAAATTGATTAAACAACGGAGTTCAGAAATACAGTTGGAAAACAAACTACTGAATGGAGGCCTTCTCTCCACTGTCAAATGGATCTAGTTTAAGCTGATATTTTATGGCTCTTCTGTGCTTGCAGATATATCTACATTCCCCTGGGTGGCTCAAAGCATGGTCCTCTGCGGCAATCCTTTTCTGTCCTCATGTGCTTCCTCTTTGTTGCTTTCTGGCATGGGGGAGGTCAGATGTACTTCACTTGGGGTCTACTTAACTGGATTGGAGTTCAGGTGGAGGCAGCTGCGTTAGCATTCGACAACAGCTTTGGTCCTCTGCAGAATCTGAAGGTAGTGTTCATTATTGCCCCTATGGCCTGATTCTGTTGAATGCAACATGTGAGGGTGTCAAGACTGACTGTCACTGGAATTTCTCTGTTCAGCACTATACCAAATGAATGAGTGAAGGGATATAATGAAAAAAAAATGATATACGTACACTGTAACTTGCAGAGTAATATAAAGCTGAGGTTTATAACATTCACTTCCAATAAGCAATCAGAGTACATGTAACATTGGTACATTTTGTGCAGAACATACCAACAGTCTTTCCATTGGCAAGGCCATAAATTAATGGATTTATAACGTGATTCACATAACAAGAAATTTACAAGATATTCAGGAAACTGAAGTTCATGTCAAACATTTTCAGCACAACTGATGTCCAGTATAGTAACCAGCAAACAAGAATACTACACAAGTGATAAAGAGCATTGCTGTTGTTTGCTGCTGCAGTGTTAGTGCTGCCTGTTTGCTTCTTGTGTGAACCTGTGGCACCCGGGGTAGCCGTGAAAAAACTTACCTTTTCCTGTTTTTGACTGATGATTTCCCCCTAGCAGCTGCAGTGTTTCTGCTCAGTCTCGGGATACGGCTGCTTTGGGCCATTTTGCTACTGTTTGACCTGCAGTATTTCTGTACACTGGCTGTCAGGGAATCAACAGTTGAAATTGGCCAAGTAGAAACAACTTCATTCCTGGACATTAATTAGGACTGATGTAGAAAAACTTTAAAACTGCACCTGCACTAACGCAGTCAAAACCTGTCTTCCAACTCCCTGACATGACCGAGCAGGTCCTGATGAGATTGGAATACAATTTTTGACGTGCCTACGTATAGCCGAGAATACCTTGGTGTCGATGAATAAAATGATAATGAGAGAAGTCAGAAATACTGTGATGTGCGCCATACAATGTATATGTGGCAAAGCCAGATGTTTGGGAGAGTTGGTGCCTCGTGAAGTTTGGATGTAGAGTGGACTGTTTAGTGCTACTGACAAGTAAAAGCGGTTAACATTGCTTTCTTGGAACATCCATATATCATGATACATCAGTTGGGATGGCAGACACAGTCAAAGTGATCCACTGTGATCACTGTAGTGACAAGGATTAAGGTACATGTATTGATAGTTGTATAGTCCATACACTCAAAGTGATCAAAGAGGCTTAGTATGTTGACCCCCTTGAGCAGGGATGAGAACCAGGCGATTTTATACTTGGTCATGCCAAGCATACTGTCAAGTCAGTTTTGGTGAGTCCCAAGATGAGGATGTTGGTGCTTGATTTTAAACGTGATTTACCTTAATAAATGTGGAGGTTCACTTAGTGTATCAATCAGAACAAAGTAAACTAGCGGGATGGTTGGTTCAGTATTGTTGATTCTTTCCACTGATGAAGAGAATGACATAATGTTCAGGGAAACAAAATTCATTCTGGAGTTATTGGAGTATTGTGTTATAGAGGGACATAGCCTGTAAAATACACTGTATGTTTTAGTTGCGGCAAACTCCTCAGCATGCTCAGTCTGTGTTGGTGTGTTCCTGTTTATTCATCATTGCTGATCGGACAACTTCTGAACAATGCAAAAACAGATCTGCCAGTGAGGCCCAAGACCACTCTCTTGCTGAGAAAGATGACGGTGTTTGATTTACTTGAAGGAAAAAAGTTAAATGATGTTTTATTCTGCCTTGATCATTGGTGAGCCACACAGTGTGATCTTTGTCAGCGGTGTGATTTATTATTAGCTGCTACGGCCGCACTGTCGAAGCAGCTTTTGTTTTTGTTCTCTGGTTCGCGACGATTAAGTATAGAACACTTTCCAAGAGACAGGAACAAAACCCCTCAAAATGCCTTTCTTTTTCTAGAGTTCTAACAATGAACAATGCTACAGACGGTCTGTTCCGATTTTTAAAGAAAATATTGGGATTAAGAGGGCGAAAAATGCCTAATTGCACAATACTTATTTATACACGTCAATGCACCTTGTGGGAGGATAGGGGTTAAGGTCATTTTTACCAAGTCAAAATATAACCCGCGACAGAAGACCGTATTTTTTGGCATAAAGAACTTCTGCTGAGTACTCAACTTGGTATTAATAGGATTAAGAAAGACATGCTTTAGGTCATGAAACCTGATTGAAAAAAAGGAATGTCCCACAGAATAGTGACATCATAAGAAAAAATCCAATTTTTAACAAGAACCAGTTTTTCGTTTCAGTTATCCTTCCACCATAGCACTTTGGCACTTTAGTAAGAGTGATTGCCCTCATAATTTGCATATACTCCGACCACCATACAAGGATGGTCCTAGAAGATATCCATCATGATGACATCATCACTTGTTACGTGACAAACCCGCAAAGTTGAATTATTTTTAGGCTTGTATCTTGGGAACCATTTGTCCCAGTGGGTTGAAATTTTGCACAAAACAAATCCAAATGTGTTATATGTGAAAATTTGAGTTACGTCATGATGACTTCACCACCTGATGTTTTAATGATTTTTAATTTTTGTCATTTTGACATTCTTTTTGACATATCTTCAAACAATTGTTTTTAAAAAACCACCACCAACAGGTCTATTGAATGTCCATTTGTTTGAAAATCTTGTGACGTCATGATGATATCACCATAATGTATGAATTTCAATTCTACGTATTAGGCAATGTCGGATCGTTATGAAATTCATTCAGTACGTAACCAGTTAATCCTTGATTGCATTTCTGAAGTGACGTCATCATGACCTCATTCATTGATTTTTTAATTAGCTTATCACGATTTCTATGTTTACGAATTTGCATGCATACTACTGTTATCTTCCTGTCATAATTTGTGGAACTTAATCAAGTCCAATTACTTTCAAATTCTGTAGAAAAAACATAAATTTCAATTCACCAATTTCAGATATATGTTAAGATTAGCACGTTTTGTATTTAAGAGCCAAGTATGAGGTAATAGTGCTATTTACAGGTATGATTGTCTGATATAATTTGTGTCCACGGTGACATTTGCCCTCAATTTGGTGCACCGTGTATACACATTCGTGGCCACTGCCATGGCACAAGTGAGGAAATGCCCTGTGTCGCGCAGTTTGTGCTCATTCCAGCATCTGCGGTCTGAGAAAAAAGCAAGGACTGGTCCGGTGACTGGGACTGTGGGATTCAGCCTTTCTAAAAGATTTTTGTTTTCCGAATGAAATAGCTCACAAAACATACAAATGATGTTTAGAAAAGGCTCTGATTCCGAAGCAACTCTGTAGTTGTTGACAACTTTTTAACTTTAAAAGCTGTTCTGTCACAGGCAAACAGTTTAAACAGTTGTCTTTGTGTGTGTTTTTTTTTATTTCAGAAGAGTATGTCTCCAGCAATGCTGAGGCGTTTTTATGCTGCCTGTGCGGTGCCAAATTATCTCTTCTTGGCTTTTTCTAACTTGCTGTCTGTCATTGGGCCAAGCAGGACAAGATTCTTTATCTCTGCTATGATGTTTAAGGGTGAGTTTGGAAAGTCGTTTTTTTCAACATTTGATATAGAAATGTACATTAGCATTAAAACCAAATAGCACCAACATACCCTTCAATATTATACAGCAAAATGCAAATGAAAGTTGAAATAAATTGGGACACAGAGATGCATTTTTGTTTGGCTGTGTTGAAAAATTAGCATCACATTGACCTGTCAACCAAGTTCTCATTCAGAGGAACCCCTGGCAAGTTGCCTTTTTGGGTTGATATTTTTCAGGTGCAGATTTCCCAGAAAATGTAAGTTATATCTGCCAGCTTAATGCATTGGAAGTAACTGAAATGAAAGACCTGTAGACCAGTGCATATGCTGTGATAAAGTTGGAATAGTACCTTATTTGCAACGGTATCAACCCAGGCAAAGAGACACAAATGCAGGAATTTACATAAAAAACCCAAGATATCTTGAAGACCAGTTGACAGATTGATGAGTGTTGATAATGTACAGGATTTGTTTGCATGATTGATAGCCTTGCTAGCTGATGAGAGGCACGCTTGTACAGGTTTCAAAGGAAGGGTTGAATGCACGTAGCTTGCATACTACATGTTTATGTAAAACAGACATGTTCAACTTAAGCAAAACTCTTATCACTCTTTGCAAGGGCAGTCTCTTCAGCTTACCAGACAGATAACCTGAATTGGTTCCATGGAGAGTGTAATTAGGTGCTAGGAAATCAATTCCAAAGAAAAACTATGCTTCTTTATGTCCAAAGAATATTGGTGAAATCCTATATTTTCTCTTGCTTCTCAAACATCAAATTATTTCAATTAATCACTTTTATTATAGAATGTACAAAGACGTGAATTTCTTTGGGTTGACACACTCTTTTTGTCAGTGCAAGAGATCTTATTTGCACTTTTCCGTTCTGTGTGTTTCTCCCACTCATGCATATAACTACAGACTGGCCTTGGAATTTTCTTTGCATCATCGTTGCTTTCTACTGTTGCATGCAGGTGGTTAACGAGTTGGAGAGAAGAGTAGGCAAAAAGGTATTGCTATCAAAGGATTATTTCTAAAATATCAGAAATAACTGTTTTAGTGTACATGTAAGTGAAGAGTGGAAGAGGTAGAAAGCAGCAGTTCATTGTTGGACTCGATCAGAGAGATAAATAGCAATGCATGGGGTCTTTGATAGGGGCGTGTACTATATATGAAACTCAGATACCTGTATTATTGTGTATTGTGTATTTTCCTGATCACTTTGCATAACAAATACAATGTAAATGTTATGTTACATAACTAGCTTTTCATTATTTACTTGTGAGTTTGTCACATTGAGTTTATTTTGGCTAGTATGCAAATTAGTGTCAGCACACTTACCACAGGGTACAAGCCGTTTATGTCATGACAAATCATCAGCATTCTGTCTTACAAGTCAGATACAACATTTGGTCCGTTGTTATGGGTATTATTTATATGAGGGCAAAGTTGGCATTTTGCAGTTTAACAGGATAGGCCATTGTAGGTGGGATGGGTAAGTCCACTTAGATAAGTTTGTCTCCAAAATTGGAGGTTGTTTGACAAAAACAAAGGCTTTTCTTAGGTTTATTTACTCAGAGTTTTGGTGTTGTGCTCTAAAGCTGTGAATTGTTGGAGATTTGCTAGCTGGTTGTTACATTCCACTGGTCCAATAGTGTAAATTTGTGGGAGGGATGGAGAATGGGGAAAGGTGGGGGCATGACTTGCCTTGCCATGAAAATGTGAAAAGCTGGGTGGATGACACCATGTGACTCTATGGAGAGGTCATTGTGCATCTGTAATATGTATTACATTCATGCAGAATCTCACATTAAAATGGCATAGGGCTTTTTTTAAAGCTGGTTTTCTTTTTTAAACATGTTGAATGCATTTTAGTCGCATCTTTTCCCAAACGAAAGGATACTTTTCTAAGATTGCTGTGCGGAAAGGGGTGAGAGTTCTAGCCCATCCAAATCTTGACAGCTCTGGGGTACTTAGAACATAATGTAGTCTTGGTTAGAGTTTGACAGTGGGTTTCTAAAGAAAAAAAAAAACGTTTTGAGTGACTCTTTGCTGTTTGTCCAGATCACGAAACTACCATCAATGTAACTGACGTTCAAAAGGGTTGGAGGGGAACTAAGTCTTTAGTCGTGGAATGGTTCACATACGTTCATCGGACTGTACACACAAATTGGGCCTGCAAAGCGCAGGCGTCATTATTGTAGGTGTATTACACTGCCAGTAATGGCTGCATTACTGTTTTACTTCCAGTAATGGCTGCAAAATTATATTCAGTTCCCTATGAATGACAGTTTAACAATTCCATTGGTCGGGAGCCCATCACATGGGGCTTGGTCTTAAACGGGTGGAATGTTGCACACTGCACAGTAAACGACTGTTGCCTGCTCCAACCCCATTACAAAAGCACCAGTTCTGTTATAACACGGGAATAGATTTAATGAATGCAATGGATAGTAAAGGTTTATACGGTTTACTGTGTCACAATGCATAAATTTCATTTCACCGAAACAGTCTTCAACTAACTTCTACAATCGGTAGGAAGTACATGTGCCAAATTTGGTTTCGACATTTCTGAAGAAATTTTCCAGAAAGCTATCTTATTCTGTAGTACGTTGTGGCTAACATCTGAAACTGTGGACTCCCCAACGTTATGCCTGTAGCGATGTAGAATTCAGAACAGCCGTATTCACACAAGCACAAAATGTGCCATATTTTTCTTCGAGGTGATGCTGCCCTACACAAAAGTCAAATTTCTGATCTCATTTTTGGAGCGAGAGAAAACCTAAACAGGAATGTAGTGTTAACCCGTTGAACAGAAATGCCCCGCCAAGCACATGCCCAAACCCACAACTCTAATTTTCGGATCACAAACAAGCTTTGTCTTGTTTCAGCAAGTATGGTCTTTCACTTAATTCAAATGACTTGTGAGATAACCCAAAAGCCATACATGGTGCCTATTGGTTTTGGTCATAGTGACCTTGACTTTTGACCTTTCAGGTCCAAATGCGGAAGGCTTCTTAGGATCACCTAGAACAATCTACAAACCAAATTTGAAGTTCATGCGCAGATCTTCTTCAGGTTATCGTACTGACACGAATATTCCGGGCACCCCCCCACACACCCACACCCGCAAAAGGACAAGAAACTGTATGTCCTTGCGGCTTTGTAGGCTGGGCATAAACCCACCTGCTGTCTTCTGGTAACTTGATACGATGATATTACGGCAAGATTGGACCAGTTGAAAACACGCTGGAATGAATGATGTCAACAAAAATGGCTGTCTTAGCAGAAATAATGTTGTTCTTCACTGGCCCCCATTCCGGCCATACATGGATGATACGAGTGCGGCTATACAACCTCCTCCCCAAGGTCAGACCAATATACTACGCGTTGAAAACGATACTTAAAACTTTGGGAAAGGTCAAGGTAATCGTAATCACGTTCTGGCGGTCCGGTATAAACGTGTACATATTTGTGGCATACATTTATCACAAGATCGATTTTCGACCCGTAAAAACCGCTATCTATTACCGTGGTATAACAAAATTGTTTATTTGCACATTTTAGAAGAGAGAGATGTACGTGGTTAACTAACTAAAAGGTGCTTCCTTCATTGCGATTGCTCGATCTTACGGGGTCTGTTGGTCTTTATGCTCAATTTTCTACTAATTCTGGCATGTGCCAATTGCCTTTTCATTTTATTCGTAGATAATAATGAAAAAAAGTCACAAAGGGAAAGTGTAGTCAGTGATGTGGTACAGAATCGACTGATAACGCACTGCGATCGTGCTGATTGGCTCTTTGTACCCAGCAAGTCTGCACATGCCCCATGTTTTAACGTACTTGAGTACGAGTGTTTCTGTATACATATTGAGTTTGATGGTGTGTGTTGTATCCTATCGACTATGCATGTGTAATAGCCATAAGTCTTTCTTGGTATGCTGCAAAATGTTAAGTATGAAATATTGTACACGTATGGATCATGCATTCTCTGAGGTACTGCATTATTTTTATATATATTTTACATTCATTCAGAACGTCGTTTCTATACATATATAGCATACTCAGTATTTAACAAGTCTGTAGTAAACTTTTCTAAGATGGATTCATTTGACTGAATTTTACCTGTATTCAGAACCTTTTTTAGCATTTCGAGGTTTATATGTGATGTGTGTACTCTCATACCTAAAATATAAGTGAAATTAAATCTTGCGCTTTGTGCGGAAAAGAGTTGCAGTTTTGGCAAAATAAGATTCTCGATTTTGTCGTGAATTCTTTTTCTTTAAGTGTGTGGTCATCGAGTCTTTTAGTGTCGGATTAGCTGCAGATCTTACATGTAATTGTGCGTGAAAACGTGTGCTTCGTTTTGCGGTAGAGAGCCTTGGACGGGCTCCTGTAGGAACCTTTCACTGGAAATTTGCTGTCCGTGATTGGCTATACATATCTGTTTGCTCCAGCAATGTGCCCTGTTGCCCGGTTTCCTTTTAGTGGCGCTGTGTTATAACACAGTCATTGTTATTGAAAGTGCACAAAGGCAAGGCTGTAGCAGGTTACCAGGAATTTATTTAGTGGTGAGGTGCATACACTTTGAAACATATAATCTGCGCAGACTGATTTGCTAAAATCAACTGGGGCTATTCTCAGGATGATTTTAAGCACTCGAGACTGTCCACGAAGAGGGGTAGAAATTTACTTGTGGTAACAGATTTGCGGGTACACCATGAGATCTATCTCTTCAAAAAGAGGTGTGGTTATAAAAGGCACCAGTGTGAGTGTTAAATCGATGTTTCGACCAGGATGCTAAGGCCATCCTCAGGGGAGTAAGGACGGCCTCATTGTCCTGAGGACGGCCGAGCATCCTGGTCGAAATGTCCAGTTAACACTCACACCGGTTCTTTTCAGAACCCCACCTCTTCTTGGAGAGATAGATCCCCACCTCTTCTTGGAGAGATAGATCCCTACCTCTTCTTGGAGAGATACATTCCTACCTCATCTTGAAGAGATAGATCCCTACCTCTTCTTAGAGAGATAGATCCCTACCTCTTCTTGGAGAGATAGATCCCTACCTCTTCTTGGAGAGATACATTCCTACCTCTTCTTGAAGAGATAGATCCCTACCTCTTCTTAGAGAGATAGATCCCCACCTCTTCTTGGAGAGATACATTCCTACCTCTTCTTGAAGAGATAGATCCCTACCTCTTCTTGGAGAGATACATTCCTTCCTCTTCTTGAAGAGATAGATCCCTACCTCTTCTTGGAGAGATAGATCCCTACCTCTTCTTGGAGAGATACATTCCTACCTCTTCTTGGAGAGATAGATCCCTACCTCTTCTTGGAGAGATAGATCCCTACCTCTTCTTGGAGAGATACATTCCTACCTCTTCTTGAAGAGATAGATCCCTACCTCTTCTTAGAGAGATAGATCCCCACCTCTTCTTGGAGAGATACATCCCCACCTGTACTACTTCCACCATGCAAAGTTTCAAATCTTACAAACTTACTGCTACAACCGTTGGCTAATTTAATGACTGGTATAAGCAGTGTTTGGCGTTTACTGAGAATGGTCTCATTCCCCCAACAAACGAAGGTGTACTCGATGGACCTTATGTCGGATCCATCAAATGGCTTGCAGGGAATTTAGTTGGTTATATTTTGCAAAAGAAAAATCCGATCTGTCCTTTTACGCAAATATGGTTAAAAGTACAGTGAAAATATCAACCAACTGCAGCCTTTTGTAAAATGGCCGCCATTGGTGTCAAAGGGCAAATCTGGAAAGGCCCTATAGCCCAATATCTTTTGTAGGACATACCGTGACTGTGTACAAAATTGAATGCTTTTATCATCAAATATTTCACTTATCTGCCCATGCACGTTTTCCCCTTTTGCCTCAGTGAGCAACCCATTTTTGTTGATGATAAAATACAACACTGGAAAACAGCACTGTACCGCCTCAGCCGAATTTCAAAGCCCAACCCTGCTGGTCCCATCTCACTATAAACCTGCAACTCCTTCTCAACAACACAAAACTGAAGAAGTGAGAGTCTCATCATTATACTCAGCAGAGTAATTATTGTTCATCACGTTTGTTTCCAATGCTTTGCTACATTGTTTTCCATATTTTGGAAATTTTAGAATTCTTTTGTTTTTTTCAAGACTGTGAAGCATCTCTTACCAAACGAAAGGATCTTTTTCTAACCGTGCTGCGTGGAAAGGAGTGAGAGTTCGAGCCCATACGATTGCTTTTAATTTTGTACATGTACATACATGTAATTAAGTACCACGCAGAGCTTTATCTTCAATAACCTCAACTTCAAATGGTGCAAATTATGATTATTACACATATTTCCATATTTTCTTCATGAGAATTTTATTTTGAATTACAAACCAAGAAAGTTCGGTTCAAAAGATATTTTTGCAAACCAATATATGTTTCAACACATTATGTCTTACTTAAAGTTACAAGTCTTAGAAGCAGGAAACCTTTATTCTGTCCTACCTTTGTTCATGTTAATTATACACATGCACGTGACTGTTAACATGTAATTAGTAAGCAGTGATAAAACTACACTGTAAACAAGTTTTAAAAAACACAGTAGACATAACAACCAGAGTTTCCATGCGATGTGTCACTGCAGAAAGTAATACGCTCTTGGAGTCTTGGACAAGTTAATATTCTACAAGTGCATAGCCTGGTTGTTTTTTGAGGCAAAATTTGAAGATTTTTATTTCGTGTAATCTCCACAATATGGGGAGGAAATTTTAAAAATACCAGAAAGCTGCTTTAATTTAAATTCTGTCTTTGTACAAGGAACTATACTTGAGCATATCGGAGACACACTAAGGGTAGATATATGAAGTAACTTAACCTCCAAGACACTTGAATCGAGAGAATTCAACAAATGATGTTTACGGAGGCAGTTAATTTATTCTCAAACCCTCAAGTGTCATTTTCTACGTTACAGACAACCTCAACTTGACTGTGCAGTTATAAAACAATACTGCGTGTATTTTTTATCATCAGTCACGCCTACTCCGACCAATCTGCGTAACAATACATTTTAGCAACGAGCATTTGCACTAAAAAGTTTGACGAGGGATGGAAAAAATGTAACTGTGTTAGGCTTTTCCGTTGTTCCGACTGTACCTTTTTTTGTAAATGCAAGTGTTTAACGTCTGTAAATAAATTGTTTGCGTGGAAAGTAAATTGCAAAACGTGGTTACAGTGTAATTCGACAACCAGAATTAGAAGCGACTACTGCGGTGGCGCAAAGCTCGTGGACAGGTGGTACGCGTGCGTTACATACCTCTTCGACCAATAGGGTGTCGTGATTTGCCCAAAGCACGCGCTCGTCAAGCTGAAGAAAGTGCGTGTGAGTGCGAAGCCACCGCAGTTATGGCGTGTAATTGGATGATTAAGTACTGATCTATTAAGTACAACGAAACAAGCACACTGCCCAATACACACACAAAACGGCAATTTCACATAGCTGTGTTTGATTGCTCTGCTCGAAAACTCGCTGTTTGTGATGAAAACTATAATATTTAAATTTGTACCCCCAACGATGAAGGAAACGTACAATATACCTGAAAATTAAAAACTAACTGTAAAAGATAGATCTTATAGCGCCTTTGTGCATTAACGTGCATTGCGTAAGCGTATCGCTTGCTCAAATGGCGCCTGCGCGATTACAGCGTTTTACGCCTATTCACGGTAAAGTTCTCCAACTTGCGCCGCTATACGCAGCGCTATACGATCTTTGCTTTAATTAAACACAGTGCATTATGTACATGAGGTGCGATTACACTTCAGAGCACTGGATCTATCTGGAATCAGGCCACGTGCATTTTTCTCCGATATCGCCACAAAGAACTTTTTGTCATGCAGGGCCTGCTGAGTTTTTTTGGTGAGCGACGTTTTGCTTTTATTTTATCAACTTAGTCTTATTTTATTCAGACCGGATATCCCACTCTTGCAAAATAATGAATGAAATTACACGCATGTTAAGTTTTTCGAAAAGATTGGTCAGAGGACAAACGAGATCTTGGCCTCCCTAGCTGTGAGGTCTGACAAACCTGGTCTTTAGAAAATTAAATGGTTTCTATAGAGTAAAATGGTTTTAAGCAATTATCCAATGATAAATCAATCCCAATCAATTTCACAGATCATAATTTACACTCCAAATGATGTTATCAGGGTATTAAAGGCGTCGGCAAAAGGAGAAGAGGAACCAGGCTTGATCCCAAAGAACACATCTACTGCTCTACATGATTTGTTACGTCGTAGAAAGCGCCCTCGAAGCTCGTTGCATCACCAGTCCTTTCACAAAATTTGAGACGAACCTCACTCAGCAATTGATTCAGCTCTCCTTGTTTCTGTGTTGATTGTACAAAACATGTCATTGTATTTTACTACCAAAGTGCATAACTGTCATTAGTTTATAAATATCTTTGTCCCAAAGTATGAAAGGCCATTTAAATGCAGCCTAAAATTTTACAGGAAACATGGTCATTTAATGAAGCAAAATATTGAAGATAAGTGAGCCCGAGAAAACTTCATATTGTAGTGGAGCCAAGTTGGCACACCAAACGTCCCTTTATGTTTTGAGTTTTTAAAGGGAGGTATCCCACCCCAATGTTCCTGCCACCTGCCAACGACCACTCGACCTTCAAGGTTGATCAACATTGTATTGATTAATGCGGCTTACTGAGTGTTATTGTTCTTTTATAAAGAAGAATGCATTTATTCCCAATTCTGTGTACTAGTTTTGATATTTTGTAATTAATGAATTCAACGTTTCAAAGCCTTCAGTCGATATCCTTATGAAGTAACTCATGCTTATAGTAGCCGTAGATCTTAGGTTTTTTTTTTACCTTTGTTCAAATATTCCGCCTCTACTCCGTGAATTTTAGCCGATTGCAAGTAATTTCTGATTCCCCAAACTACGCAAAAGTTTAATAATGTACATCCATTACGGGCATCATATTATGTATTGGTGTAGAAGTCACGTGAGCTTTTCAGATTGCAAACACGGCTGAGAAAACACTTTGTAACCGGTTGGCAATCACCATTGCCCCGGAATCTAGACCAAAAGGTCTGCTTTTGTACACTCGATGTCATTTGTAGCTGATAAAAAAGGTGAGTTAATGCTCTTGAAGTACGTGGTAATACTCGTATGAAACCTGTGAGAAAAATGATGATGTTACTTCATTTCAAATTGCATCACTTAACGCCGTCATAAAGCTCTCGATTAGGTTCATTATCGTTGCCAGAACTCCATCTAGTCTGTTAAAAGAACTAGTATAAAACCAACCCATTGCACTTATTATTTTGTACTTTCTGCACTCAACTGTTTGATTTCTATCGAGTACACTGGAGCACTCATCATCAGATATATACACAACGCAGTGACATTTGAACACTGACCTGCTTTACAGTGCATTTGAATTTGCCATTTTGGTATTAGGCTACATGTATATATGAAGGAGGGAGTATAATAACAATCTAAAAGGTTGGTATTATTTTTTTGGAAAAAAATTGAGTAGTTTAAAACACATTGAAAATGGAGAACCTAATGACCATACGTTTATTTAGATGATGAAATGGTTTTTGTATTAGGCCCGCCCTACATGTAAATTAATGTCTGCCTCATGTGATACATGTTTCCAATCGTAGTCTTTTGGCCACACTTTGTGGGGATCGAAAACGTCACAATAACAGCATGCATAATGAGTGAATGTGAAATTTTCAGTGTAATCAGGGTATGTATAGACCCTCCAATATCTGGAGGGAAAAATATGACACGCTTTCCAAGTAATGTAGACGCAGAACTCATTATTGCGTAATTCATATTTCTATTTTACCTGGTCAAGTTTTAAGCGCAATCTAACCGTATGACCAGTGGTTTCTGTGCCCGACGACAAGTGTGAGGTGTTAGCTGCCGTTGGCTCAGTAGGCTTACCGTATCCCATGGACTGCATCATACTCAGCGTAATGTCTCTATCTTGCATGGTGAGAAGAACATACACCTGAAAGAAACATGTGACATTACAATGATTCTTACAAGAATTGGATCTGCGTATGCAGGGATGAACACAGGATATACACAAGAAACAAATAACAATCCAGAAATATATTGCTCAGTACAATTACTCTCAGGAATCCGGTAAAAATAAAATCCAATGAATCCGATTTTAATGAGGAAGATATTTCCAGAATGTCGAATTTCCAAATTATCAAATTTCCAGCACCAGATTCGATTCATTCCAAGTTTGTGTGAGTCACAAATCTCTCATGGTTAGGATAAGTATCTTCTCTTTAGTAAACATGAAAGACATGGAAGCTGTTACCACGAAACGCATGTTCAGCACGTTGGAACCCACACTGAGCATTAAGGCATGTGCTGAAATTTTGATACTCGTTTTGTTTCTGTCATCTGCCAAAAATGTGAAATATAATTACATGGCTTTGATGACAATCCTGGTTTTCAGTTTCCCGTGAAAATTAGTAAATTAAAATTAACTCCCCGCTATAAAAGTGATGAACTTTGCCAAACGAAAGCCTTTTCACTCTGGTTGCTTTGACAATATTTGGATTATCGTTACTGAGGAAGAAACAATTTCTGTGAGTTGGCCGGCAAATTAAAAGACTGAGATTTTGCATACCTTTGGAACAAAGTTCAGACACAGTACAGATGTACTGACAGTAACAATCACAACTCCAGCAACCAGCACTGTAATGTTAGCATCATCGTTCACAGAAGCTATGGTCGGAATCGTCAAGGCAATAGACAGCGCAACGATGTACACTGATGCCGCAATGGATTTACCTGCGAAGTAAAGTGCCGTGATTATGTAGTTTGTAAATTACAGTGTCTCAAAATCACAGTTTCCTCTGCTGAACAATGAACTGTTAACCTACTAAGTTTGTATATCTTTACTTTTTTCAGTAACTTAAACTGGTTGGTCTGTATTTCTTTCCTTGTCAACTTTAGAAGTAAATCCACATTTGCACACATTAATTTCCTTTTATCTAGTGCAAATTTTTCGACGTTAATGATTCTGTCCACATACAACAGTAAGAAGGAAGATCACAGGAAATTTTTCCTAGATGGTTCATTATACATGCACGCATAAGTTGAGGTGTTACGACGTGAACGTAGATATTGTTACTTTGGGGTCAAAAATTAATTCCGCTATTTTAAAAATACAATCACTCTACACATATAAAAATGTAGACGTACTGTCACTGAGTCGGGATACTGCAATATTTCTGGTCTCCCAGGCTAAGAAGAGGCCAAAGGTCAAGACGATTCCCTTTGTTATATACAGGGCGGCGATAAAATACACTTCGTGTGTGCTTGCACAATATCGTATCTCTGGAACATCAAAGATCTCCTTTTCAGGCTCAGTCATGTCAAGCTACAACACACATAATAAAAAGCACGCTAAAAGGCTTCAAGGCAAATTCTTAGTATGGGTCTGGTCTACTAGAACATACCTACCCAAACAGTTACATATGCAAATTTCCCATGCGCCTATTTACCATTCGCTGAAAAGATTCGATCACTGTGGTGCACCCTGCCTGACCCCCCACACTGTAACGCGGTCTCGCCGCCATGATCGTCCTTCTTTTCGCAAGCGACTCAAAAGGGTCAGAGCCAAAATTGGGGAAGACGGGCGGAAGAGGACTGTTTAGGTAGGTATATGCTCTAGTAGACCCGACCCACACTTAATGGGGGGGGGGTCTACGGCGCCCTACCAACCCAGTCACTACATATGCAGGGTGGCACCGACGGGGGGGGGGTTCAGTGACAATCTGAATGTGAACTTCATGAGCACAATAATATGCACCAAGTGGTGTTCAGTCGAATACAGATAAGAACAGCACTATTAATACAAGAAAACTATTATAAAAAATTAATTTGTGAGGTTTCAAGGGCCTCGTTATGTTCCACTTTACTAAGGAGAAATTAATAATGAAATCACCAAGTACGGATCTTCAGACTGACTGTCCCTATACTTGGTCTGCAGGCAGCCCCTGAGACTTCCATGCTGCCGATAGTAGAATCGTCTCGCCATGTGCGGAGTTGCTCTGCAAGACATCCCTCAGGGAGCAGAAGGTGAATATAGAAAGAGACTTTCAGCACGCAGCTTTACAGATATGTCTGCAGTGGAAATCCCAAGAAGACTGAAAATCAAGAAGTAGATACTGCTCTTGCATCATGTGCTTTGATATAGTGTTGGCATTGGTTATCAGGGTGTGATGGCCAGTTTGGCGTTGGCAAACTTTAATGGCTGAGACTAACCAGCGTGTTATGGTGTCTTTTGCTGCTGGGTGATGCGGTTTGGCAGAGGTAATAAATAGTTTGGAAACTCTACCTATCAGATTCTTGGTCTTGGCGAGATACCACTTCAGCACACAAACTGGGCACCAGTGTTTGTCCTCATCTTCTTCCGTATGTGAAGCAATTGTTGGTACAAAAATGTCCAGCGGATCAAAAAAAAAAGAGTCTGATTTTTGGTGAGGAATCCAATGGACGGAATTAAGCGGACGCCGTGTGGCTACCATCGTAGATGTCCCTCACTGACGGCGAGGGCTTGAAGATCATACCCTCTTCTGGAAGTAGACACGGCCAGGATGAAGAGGAAGGCCAGTTTAATGCTGGTATGCATTAAGGGGGCGTTACTTAAAGGCTCGAAGGGGGTACCGGTGAGCATCCTCAGGACTGTACTCAGGTCCCATGACAGGACTATATAAGCACTTTACGGGGGGCATTGAATAAACATGCCACGTAGCAATTGGTGAAGGGTAGCGTTATCGGGAACGCTGGATCCCATGAAGCCGGCTTCATGACTATGGAGGCAGCCAAAGCCACTTTGTAGTTACGGATTGTGGAAACTTGTTGACCGGTATGAAAAAGGTACATGAAGAAGTCCGTGACTGCCCTGAGAGGAGCGTCGGTTGGAGCCACAGCATGTCCGTCCCACCACGTAGCTGCGTATTCTGCTGTCGGGCGTCGCCTCGGTTTGTTTGTCGTTCCGGTTGAGCGTAAGCATAATTGGACAATGTCCAGCACGTTTAATAGGTGAAGATCCTTGGGTGCCGGATGGAGATCCCGTATTTCGGCTGTCGAAGAATGACCGGTCTCTTTGGGAGGATGAACGGTCGGTGGACTAGAGGTCTCGTCAGTCGAGGGAACCACAGTTGACGTGGCGAGAAGGAACAATTAGCAGAATCTGACAGTGTGTGCGCGCTCTATTTGGAGATGACCCGCGAGACCAGAGACATTGTGGGCGGGGGGAGGCGTACACTAGTAGGCCAGTCCAATCGATCTGAAGGGCGTCCGTGGCCCACGCTCTCGGGTGCAGAAGTTGGGCATTGTCCGCCGATGCAAAGATGTCGATGTGCGGTCTTTTTATTACCGAGAACAGAGTTTTGACGATGTCGGTGTCAGGCCCTGCAATGTGGATCGCTTGAACCGTGATTGTGTGACTTTCGCCCTGTGAAGTATTTCCCATGTAAGGGCGTGCATCCTGGGAGAGCGCTTACAGCCCTCATGATTAATATATGCTACTGCTATCGAATTGTCCGTGCAGACAATGACTGTTTTGCCCTTGATAATGTCCCTGGAAATGACGTAGAGCATTGAAAATCGCCTGTAGCTCCAGAATGTTGATGTAATTCTTTTGGAACTCGGTGTCCAAGCTCCCTGACACCTGGTGTGGGGGAAGGGAGGCCCCCCAGTCGAGGGATGACGTTAGGTTTTGCTCACCTGAAGGAAGTCCCGCTTTCAAGTGATCCTTTTGTAGCCACCAGAGTAGGTATTGGCGGATGTCGTCTGAAACGTGTGCTGGTGTTGTGATAGGATCCATTTTGGGACTATATCAAGCAAGCAGGTGGAGCTGTACCGCGGCACCAGGTCCACTATGCTGGCCATGAGACCGAGGAGACGGAGCCAGGCAATTAAGGGCGGGAGGTGACTGCAACGTGCAGAAAAGAGAGACGCGGTTCCGAAGATTGTTGACTCGGTCGGCCGTCGGGGTGATGACACCTCCGCGGAGGTCGAGTACTGGCCCTGATAAGTGGGGCGGTGTGATGTCGTCAGGCTCGAGTTTTCTACGTTGATTAGAAAGCCGAGTAGAGTAAGTTCGCAAGCAAAGTGAGTTGCGGTCACAGTCTCGGCTTGGGTTCGACCCACGATCAACTAGTCATCCAGATACTGGAAAATCATGATGTCCACCTGGTCTAGGTGAGCCGTGACAATTTTGGCAATACGGAGGTAAACCGTGGGTGAAACTGATAGATAGAACGGAAGGGCAAGAACTCGTGTGCTCTCCATCCGTATATGAGACAGAGGAACTTGCGGTCCCTTTTGTAAATAGGAAGTTCACATAAAGTTAGGTGTCGCGGAGATCGATCGGTGGAGCCCAGGAGGGAACTGAAGAGATCGTATTGGTCTTTATCCAAAATTTCTTGGGGCGGATTTCTTGAGGAAGAGGGTTGAAACGAAGCCGATCTCGAGTTGGCTGGATTTCATCTGAAGGATGGCTCGTTTTTGCAGAAGGGAGTTTATTTTCGACACCAGCGCGAAGCGATGGTCCTTGTTGTAAGGAACAGGAGTCGGACGTTGTATCGCTTAGGGCGACGAGGGCTTGAAAATTCGAGTGAATATCCATGTGCAAGAGTCGAGAGTACCCACTGTCCGAGGTGATGTCTTCCAGAACCCTACGAACTGTTGAAGGCGGCCGCCCACGGGTTCAGAGTTGGCGGTCGCCGGTGGCGAAGCGGAGCAGTCATTTGCGACGTCCCCTGAGGGAAGGGGGTGTGCGATGGACGCCCACGTTGTCGAAAAATCTGGCTCGCCCTGGGATTGATATCGGTCGAGGTCCGGTGTTTGCTCGACTGTTGGAGCAGTGGGCGAAAGGAAGAGCGCCTCAGGAAAGCTTGGTATGTTGTGGGCCTGGCTTATCCGCACGCTGCAACGTTGAAGGTGGGGTTTCGCGAAGGGTTATCCTTTTTGCTGTATCAATCTACTTACCCTCGGTCTCCAGCATGTTGAGGAACTTGCAGGCGAAAAGGTCTTCACCGAAGAGTGGAAGTTGCTGGAGATGAGTCTAACACCCTCACGGGGAATGTGTATGGCATCGAGGGCGTTGGATCTTCTCGTCGAAGTCGCTAGACAGGATATTCGAGTAAACTGTTCGAACATATTGTTCAGTCCCTCTTCAAGGCCAAGGAGAGCTAGGGCTGCAATGTCTGGGGAGACCAGTGAGTTCTCTTCGCATGCAAGGGCGATGTATTCTGACGGGAAGAGCAGGTAGCCGGTGCACCGTAGTCCACAGTGGGAGGCTTTGTCGAGCTTAGAGAGCTTTGCCAGCAGGGCTTTATCCTTGTCCCGGAAGATTCCCTGAGCAGGTGGTCTTCCCGAGTCCGTGCTAATCTTGTCTTTGGCTGTGTCAGGAAGGTGTGGAGCCGATAGGAAATTCTTGAAATCGGAAAATGGTAGCAAGCTGCCGCTCGGTTGGGGAGTGCAAGCAGCAGCGATCAAGCGGTAATTCGGGACAGATTCAGAAGCATCCAGTCGAGTTGTATGTCGTTTGAACGAGCCTTGACTGGTATCCTCCTCTGGCGGAACGGCTGCGGGCAGGCCTAATATTTGAACCTTGTTCCGCTGAAGAGGACGGCAACGACCCTCGGCAGGAGTAAGAGTTCAGATAGAATCAACCTCTTCCTCCTCGGAAGATACCACTGGGGACAGGGCCGCGTGTAGTTCCGAGTCCTGCACAGTCCTGTGGACCATAGACCGCTCATGTAAAGTAACATCTGCGTGATGCGACCCCGGGTCGGTGTGTCGAGATGGCTCCTGGTTAAGGAGGGCGGGTGTGGTTGGTCCGCCAGGGACGGGTCCGGGCTGGTGGACGCCGGAGGTAGTCTGTCGTCGAGGTGACGGGCAATGGAGGTAAGGACCATATTTATAGTTTCAGAGGCGGATATTCGAGCCTCAGAAGTCTGGTCGTACCGGCCAGAGCAGTGCTTGTTGGTGGGTTTGGAGGCATTGGGTAGAGAAGAGAAGCGCTTGCGTTTGCTCTTCCCGGTGGCGGGTGACCCGGCAGTGGAGGTGCCAGACGGGGTCACAGTAGGAGGAGCGCCTGGGGAGCGTTCCCGGCCGATGTCATCGGGAACTGTGGAGCATCGGACGGAAGGGCTGGGAGACGTAAGGCCCGATGGCCCGGAGAGGCCTAATTGAAAAAAAACAGGAACCGCGTATGGGCTGCGGTGGCTTGAAGCTCTGACGGCGTAAAAGTCAGGTGGGCTGCACGGCACCCGAGGGAGATTGGTTGGGTGCCTCGGTGTCGTGGCCCGGTGGCATACTGGGCGAGACAGACCCCAGCGCTCGTGAGGAGCCTGGCCCGTAACCTTCAGTTTCTGGGTGAGAGAGAGTGCTCTCAGAGGCCGCCGGAGAAGTGGTCTTTTTGGCCGATGTCGAAGGGCGCCTGACGCTCTTCGGAGTCGTCGGGGGAACGTTGGCAGGATTGCTGCGTGTGTTTTTTTGGCCGGTGAAGGCCGTGGCGGAAGGCCGGGCTCGGGAGACGTCTGGTAGGGTGCTCCCTCGGGAGTCCCGGCTGGCTCACTATAGGCCAGCAATTGACCAAGGAGACAGAGGGCCGTACCAGATCCTGGCAGTGCCCCTGCCCAAGCGGTGATTCACAGTCAACCACGAAGCTTCCCCGTCAGCACCGTTACGCCGAATTAGGGGGCCTTGCCAGATCATCGCGGGTATCCCCTAGTCGACGGCAGGCCTTTCCTCTTTCTAGTTGCCGGAAAAAAACAGAGGAGTATGGTAGATCCTGACTGCGACCCCCTGAATTCAATCAGCTAAGACCTACTTCTTATCGCTGGTGAGATCTATTGTGTAGCTGGGACGAACTTCGTAGTACCGACGGTAAAAACATGCAGGGTGCACATAAAAGAAAAATAAAGACAAGGAAAGAACACAAAAGATACACCAGAAAAATACCTTAATTACCACACGAAGTGTGAAAAATAAGGCAATACTTTATTCAAGAAAAAAGGATGGTCGATCAGATCGGCACAACCGTGTAGCGAAAACGGAAACTCGATAAATCGAAGAAAGACACGTCCGTTATGTTACGGCGATCATAACGGCCAGACTGCGTTGCATTGTGGGAGGTCAGGGTGCACCACAGGTGATCTAATCTTTTCAGCGAATAATAAATAGGCGCATGGGAAATCTGCATTTGTAGTGACTGTTTGGGGAGGTAGGGCGTCATAGGCTCAATAGGTAAAAGCTTTGCAACATTTTGTAAGGAGGACGACAACATGCACACAGCATATCAACGATCTGCAATGTATTTGTATCACGAAAAGACAATTTTAACAACGGCACACGAAGAAACCACGTTGACTGAACGCTTTCACCCAATCCAACAACCCACCGCTGTTGAAAAGCGAAGCTTTTACAGAAAAATTCCCCTCTTGCGGGACCAAAATAATTACGGTATTACCTGATTGAGAACGCGTTGAAGTGAGCATTAATTCTTTCCTTGGATGGAATTTAACTTATGAAAAAATGATCTGCCTGCTTTTTGCTGCTTTATGCATGTGTTCTCAGCCCGGGTTTCTCTGAATAATACTGTTTGCAGAACCAAATTCAACGGAAAAAAGCCAAGACCAAGATTTTTTCGGATGTTTGTAATTTCAAAACTTTGTTTTAGAATAGGGACTTTCTTTCACAATAACTGAAACAAAAGGAGGATATGCTGCCTCGTGATGTCACACTGTGGAGAACGCTTGGCAGGACTAACTCCGATTAGGCATGTCAGGAAAGGACTGTCCTTTAGATTTCATCGGTAATTTATTAAGGAGAATGGTTCAAATAAAAGAAATTTCTGACGATTTACCTACCATATGAAACAGAAAGTAAATGTTGTTTTGAGATATTTCTGGAAAAAAATCAAGTTGACATGGCATGAAGTACATGAACTTTGAAATTATGGAGAATGTTCCTTTTTATTTTGCCATGCTTTCACTGACAGGGGGCCTGCAAGAAAATGAAAGTTCCCAGTGTGGGCCTACATCTGTTGCAAAGGAGTAAGATAAAGACACTTGGCTGTGATTGGCTAGCACTCTTGACTGTGATTGGTCAAAAGTATAAACTGTAGGTCTAATCTATGAATAATTTGTGCTAGAATCCTCCACAACTTCGTGAAACCCTTAACTACAATATAGATGGGAAAATTGAGTGTGGAAACAATGAAAGTATGCAAACATTATGACATCTGCTTGAACACTGAATATAAGCACAGTGTGCTTAACATTGTAAAAGAAACTCCTTTTCAATCACACGAAGCATGTGGCCTCATGTTTGGCCAAGCATAAAGTTTTCTGGCAAAATATAATCATACATTGTGACAGCATCTCACATCCGGCAGCTTCAAAGACGTGGGTATCACGAATGCTGCATTGCAGGTCCAGGTTTTATTACACAGCCTATACGTCTGTGCTTTTCAACCGATGATAATCCGGTCAAGGAGGCGAAGCCGGGGCTTTGGTACCAGGCAAGATAGAGCAATGTGAGCACAGGGGACTATATCCAGCAAGAAATGAGACCGAATGGTACCCCCACCGACATGTCCAATCGCCAGACACACTCCAGACTATGTTACCAAACACACCCCCCTTGATGTCTGAAAAATCCTCAGATTCCATTGAGACAATGACCAACACAAAGCGGGGGGGGGGTTCTCTCCGTCTCTTATCTTGCTTCATATGCAAGGGGCAAGTTCTGCAAATGAAAATAGCTGGCTGATATTATTTTTTCACAATATCCCCATTAAGTGGAAAATAACTACAGTTTTTTGACGAACACAGCATCAGTGAACGGGACTTATATATGATAACGTTGAAACGAGAATTCTACAAATCGATGACTCATTGCAAGCTCTACGCGACAATCTTGTTCTATATTGTGAGCCTGTCCGAATGCGCGGCGATGATACCATAGGCGGTAAGACATTGGAAAGTGTCCTTTCACTGACGTACCCGTGGCTTCAGGGTAACGGTGTGAACAGTCATTACATCTACTGCGATCCACGTGACAAAGATGACACAGTCTGTCAGAACAAGGCCAAAGACGCCACTAATGAGCTTCCAGTCGGGTAAGTCCTGTATTAAAGAATTGTGCAGAATTTCACGCTTCAGAGATAAAGCAAACCCTAATTAGACCACGACTTTTCACAACTGTAACTAATTCATTTTAACACCATACAGCTTACTGTCGGGCTATATTCTTATAATGACAAATACACATAGCAACCAAATAATATTGGTTAAAATGACCTTTGCGGAATTTTCACAACAAGGCTACCCATAAACCTTTGGAGAATTAACACGCCTTCAATATACTCTGTGAAATGAAATTGGCTAATAAAACCAGAAATTGCAAATTTGTGTCCGATCAAATGCATTTGGCTAGACACATCTACCAATTTTTTTGCTTTTTAAAAAATCAGTTTTGGTTGCTCGTGCTCAGCTGTGTACATAGAGACCGTTGCGTACAGCACATAATTACAGATCCAGTCACAGACAGCTTTTCTATTTGTTGGTTTCTTATACAGATAAGAGAGATTCTGGAAACTTATACTATCATCTGCTATCTGTAGAGGTATCGCCTCACCAGCAAGGAGGAGGCTGGTGGGGGCCGCGTGCTCAGCGCTGCCCATGCACACAGTGTGTGCCCTCCATTCATTAAAAGAGACGCATGAAAGCCCTGTACTGCCATCAAGTAATATATATTTTCAAAATCGAAGCAGTTTTTCGAAGTTTGTTATGAGGAATAAAATCAAACGCAAAATACACATCTCTTAAAGATCAGCTTGGAAAAATTCTCGTAAAAAACGATTTGCTTTAAAAAATTGGAAACAATGTTTCTAAAAATAGATCTCATAAAAATGAACTGGAGAATCTATATCTATGTCTGGAACAATTGCGCTGAGGCCAAATACTTCTCGTAAAAACAAAATTGAAACATTTACTACATAAAAACAAACTTCGGAAATATATACTTAATACCTTCACTTTCTGAAAACAATATATACTTGAAGGCAGAGACGTCGTTACTTTGCCAATCATTTCCTTTGTTCCTACACAAGGAACCGATGGTTGAAATTAGAATTCTGGAAATACAACTTCACCATCTTGGGATTTTAAGATAAATAAGATAAACTGGAAAGTGTTTCAAGGCTAGGAATTACAGGCTAACCTAATGCATTTGCTCCATTTAAAGAGATCTAAAGAAAAGATAAAGAATACTCACAATTTGTTTAAACCGCTTGACAGCCAAAGTAAATATTGCATGTATTCGATAGGTCTTCATCAAGGTGGAACCGAATGCAAAGGAGACCCCCAGAGAAATAAATATCCTCTCCAACTGCATCAAAACATGAGGCAAACTTAGCAATCAATTGGGCCAGGCAGTCTTTTGTAAGTATTTGTGAATATTAACTTTCTTTTTAGAAAAAGGGCAGAATTATTGGGATTATATCTTAACAATCCCAAACGTAAAAGGTCCAGATATTACACCAAGAATAAGATTTTCAAAAAAATACACTTGCATATTCTCCATAACAATAATGCCGGATAGTCCTACGAGCTTTCACAAAGGATTGACCGACATATATAGTCATAGTCATTGACAATGGCGAATTACAGATTCTTAAAATAAAACGAATAGAGCACACCCGTGTAAAAGGCGCCTTTGCTTTTCATGTCTGTACCCTAAGCGTCCAGCACTACGAATTTCTTTTCTTCGAATATTTACGTGACATTTGACGATGAAACTCCAATCAGAGATTTGCGTGGCGTCCAAGGCCGTAGTAAAGACGGAAGCTTGGAGAAGCAGACAGCCCACTATTGTCAGATTACTAAGGGAAGGACTCGACATCTTGATGGCCCTGAGAAATTAACAGCTGACCATAAGACTTTAGATTTTTTTAAAAGGTTTTCCCGTTATACTTGCCTATACATCCCTCCTTATTTTACGGTGCTGCAAGGGCGGACTCCGAAATCAAAATTTAGGGGGCCCATAGGCCTAAATTATCAGGGTTTTTAGGAGGGGAGGCCAAAAAGTTAGGATTTTTAAAAATGTATTAGGCCTATATTTTCAGTGGTACACATTTTGGTACTCTTCACACGCAAGCAAAGAAACCAAAACTCCGCCCTTGCAGTGCTGGTTTGCCAACCACATCCAACGATATGGTTGGCCGTGATCGCAACTATTGCAGTATTTCAACGTCTACCAATTATCAATGATAGTAATGCTCCAAGCTCTTAGCAAGATTCTGAATATAATGAAACATAACACGTTCAGTCAAGTCCATGTCATTATGATTTGTTGCATCGTTTGAAGCCCCCCTTCTGTCCTTTGCTTTTGCAGAGTGCTTGACCTCCTGTCATGACGTTGAATGTCACAGGGGCTTCGTACCAGTCCTCCCCATCCCTTGCCTCAAGGTCTGTCGTAACATCCTGTCACCCGACGTGTCGCACACCTGTCGAACAGTCGTTCTCGTCGTGACATTTGTCTATACTACTGACTTCACGGTATTGGAGGCCAACTATATAGGAAAACGCAGCGAAAACTCGTAGGGAGAGATGGAATGGCGCAATGAAGCTGTCTTGCTACAGCATCATCGCCACCACATCGACCACTACACGTTCTGTGGTATTTGGGACGCTGTACTTGCTAATACGTAGGGTCTTTAAAAGGGGTAATCCAAAACGTTCAAGGGTAAATGTCAACAAGTACAGAAAGCAGAAAGTTATATTATATTTTCACCGATACTTTTATTAGAATCCAGAAATTACGAGTCATCAACACTACCATCTAAAAAATGGAGACGAATAAGAGTTAAGGTCGAAACACCTTTGAAGTCAAACTCGAGACTGGAAAGCACAAAAGCAAAGAAACTGGAGACTCGTACTGTCGTTCAAATTAATGAATATAATTCATGACTACAATATTTGTCAACAGGAGTGTCAGATTTTCTAACATTCTTTAAAATCTTCTATACCACCTCCCCTTTCCAACTGCAATCGACGTCGGCGTTGCATGCCGTTCAAGGCTAATTTGAGGATATTTATTTTCTACGGAATCACATATTTTACTTCCTGCATTTTGCGAGTGCCTTTGGAATAACACTGATAACCGAGTTTCGGCTCACCTCCTGTGCTTGTATCTGATGTTGAGAAAAAGGAAGGCCAATGCGATGACCACACCGACCAAGGCAAGAGAGATAAGCACGGCCTGAGTTGTTAAGGACACCGGTAGGATGACTTTCCTCGTTGTAATACCATCCACTGGAATATGATCGCCTAAAGTAAAACGACAGGCAGCTTTGAAACAATAGACCTAAAACATAATTAGGTCACGCTTTGTTCACATGTGCACTTTCCAACGTGGATAAGATCGCGTCCCACCTCCACTGTCTCTTACTGCTAATGTCTTCAGTCAAACCAGCGCTAGTTAATGTGAAACGCGACATGACCGCATGGTGTAAATCCCCGCCGGGGAGTGAGCTTAGGACGATAACCAATTCGTCAAATTACCCAGCTGTGGAAATTTGAAAGACAAGATTGGTTGTGAGGGTTGAGTCTGGACATCACAGTAACGTTGCTCGGGAAGCAGATGTATGAGCATTTTATGATTATTTACGCGCATATACATGTCGGGACTTCGCTTTAAAACGGCGCACATGTGCTTTTGTACTTTATTCTCCGTTTTTCAGAGTTATTAATTACAGTTTGGATGTTGGAACGTCCAAAACAACCCTAAAATCCATATTTTATGTGGATTCGTGATTGGCTCCTACCAAAAATCCCTAACGCGTGCATTTCGTAGTCGTTTGTGAACCAGCGAAGTACAGTTCTCGATCAAAGGAGCGTTCGTTGCTTGGAAAATTACCTCCCCCTTCTTGGACCATTTCAAAGCTCAAAGTGACAAACGACCGGATCAGTAAAAATGCTTCTGATAATGAAATCTTTACCATTATGGAGGAAACGGAAAAAGGCTGGTATTGGGACAGATACAAAGATTTCTGTTATGCTGAAGTGTTTCAGCTTACTGTGAAAACATTGCTGCGTCAATAGCCTACACTTGCTTCATTGAATGAAGACTCAGTAAACTTTAGTCTGAAAAGGGATCAGTTTTTCACTTGTTAAAACTAGTCTTTCAAAAATGCATTAATACAGGTACGATTTCTGGAACTGAAATAGATACCCACACAACTACCGGTAGTATACTTGTTTAAGTTGTGAGAATTGATTACATGTAATCAACTACGTGTATTGAAAGTATTATTTTGTTGAATTTCATTCTTTTCTCACCTTTCCAAATAATCCTAGAGACTCCAGACGTTTCTAAAGCTTGACTATCCGTTTTGTATATCATTACCGTAGTCAACTCTTCACCTGTAAAATGTCAAATATCACCAAAACAGCAATGGTGAATGATCAAAAGCTAGCTATTATAAGACAGTTTCGGCAGACAGGAAACGCGCACGCGCGCGTATCATGCATCCGTATCTTTTTCGCTGATGACGCCATCACCTTAGGCTGTCTTGTTATACGTAATGCAGAGAAGCCCCACGGACAACGGCACATGGAAGCAACTTGGTACGGAACCGGTACTTATGAAGTTTCGGCTTTCCACACCACGTTAGTACAAAATTGTATTCCACCCAACAAAAATTCCTTACTCGCACAACGCTTGATGTATCGTTTGTTGTTTAACAAATCAGGGCCACCACTGTTGCTACGTTGCCGCGTGCCTCATCACTTACACGGATGTGCGAGTCATGCCGAAACTACATTTTGCAACTTTATACGTACCCGTATACATGCCATGCGGATACGCGTACGGACACGAAGAAATTAACTTCTTTGCCGAAACTGTCTGTTAACAGTGACTCGAGTTGTCGATTAGAAAGTAGCCTATATACCTGTACAACTGTGCCAAAATAAAGAACATGCAAAACACGTTTGAAAATGACTGACCGACGAAACTTATAATTCCAAAGTACTGTTACGTTTGATAATCGTTATAAAGACTTATTATGGTTGTCACACATTGGTTGCTCTGACACTGAAAAAAAATTTAAAAGGAAAGGAAGAAAAAATTACAGTAATACTACAAAAAAGACCCCTGGTGGCCTCTCAGAAAGCTACGTAATTTGGCCACAAACAAAATTATTTTAATGGGGAAAAAGATCATTATTTCAAAAATGGGTTTGCGACTGGGAATTAATTTTGGATTTTTGCCCTGCCCGACGTGTATTTTAACACTGTATACTCAGTGTTTGCTCCAGAAGGCTTGTGAAAAACCACAAGCGTGCTCGGGTGGGACTCGAACCCACGACCTCCTGCTTACTAGCGCAGACGTCTTAACCACTTGACCAGCGAGTTTACGTTGTCGACTGGCTGGTTCGAATCAGGTGTAGCAGCAGGTAACCAAACAACTATTCTAAAGATGGATTTGCGCAGAGAGATGTAAATTAATTTTGGATTGTTGCCGTGCCCAATGTGTATTTTAACACTTTATTCTCAGTGTAAAGTAAAGTACTTCTCCTCACAAAACGTTACAGGCCGATCGATTATTTTTGCTTCCTATACGAAGAGACTACGCTGCCTTTCCGAAGTCAGTTTTTGATTTTCATATCATTTTGTTTTTCTTGACGTTAATAAAATGACTTGATATGTGTCTAATTATGTGGCACAAATTATAAGCAACAACGTAAGTGTGCTGGGTAGCAGTGACATGCCTGCCATTGCTGAGATCACAGAGATATCAGAGTGCGAGCAGCATCTCTAGGTCGTAAAAACATCATTTGATAGAAAGATGAAACACTGATTTATCCCTTTTTATGAAGTTTCAGACAGTAAAATAGAATCGAGGCTCATGTTTTGGTTATTGTGATTAAATTTTGCATCAGTACTTTAAGGAGCCAGATACGACACACACTGTGGGCAAACACGTGTATCATGCCCTCTGTCTGTACATGTCAGTAAAATGGAAAACGTTTTTCGTAATTAACGAAAATAGATATTTTTTGTTTTGTCTTTGGAATTTCAACTAAAGCTGTGTTAACGTGTCATCACGTGATCAGTTTCAGTCTGCAGTAAAATACCATGTAACAGTCCAAGGCTAATCGCAATAGACTTTAAAATGTCTTCATTTAATACATTCACTGGTCAAGCGAACAAAATTGAAATGTTAATAAGGATTTTTAACTCATCAAGTATAAGTAATGGTTACAAGTGTAGGTTCAAAGTAAATCATAACGGGCGCTATGAGATAGCACTCTGCAGATTGAGAAGAAAACTTAGATGTTTATTTGTGGTTATCCCAGGCAGCAGATGCACCGAAGTATGTTCGGATTAGTATCAAAGATTGTTAAGAGAAGAGGAAGTCATTGCCGTTATGTTCCATTTGTGTAGTAAACGACGCATGGTGGGTTCTACATCAAAATGGAGACTGCATGCTCATATCAACCTTACCTTGTGCCTGCACTATTTCGACAATGTCACTGTTTTGCTGACCATTTTCAATCAGCACTGGACCCTGCAGGGAAAAGCAAGCAAAGTAACAGGGAAGACGTCTTGTCTTCAAAGGCTATACCGGGCCCTCTGTCGCTTCTCATACTAGTGAAGCCGGAGGAAGAACTACAAGTGTGCAACACGTTCAGGTCTGTTAACGCTAGAATATCTAGACAGGTGCCCAGCAGAAGGGCGTAAGTGCGCTTACACCCTCTTACCGGGAAACATGATCACAGCAGAAAAAATGTTCCTGGCAAAAGGGCGTAAGAAACACACTGTCTTTATTTAGTAAACACGGATATATTTTACTACAAAATCAACCTGGGCTGTACAAAAAGCAACCTTTGAACAACTTATAAAAGGACATGGGATTTTTGCCAAGAAATCTTCATATTTCATTACATTAAACAGTTGCATACTTACATCCTTTTGCCGGGAAACCCTTTTTTTGCAGTGATCATGCTTCCCAGCAAAAGGGCCTAAGCGCTTATGCCCTTCTCCCAGGCACACGACGATCTATAGCTTGACTAATATGGTGACCAACATGGGATAGGATACTCTATAACAGAAATGCGGTGAAGCTGGAAGGTGATTTATCACGGGGAATCACCTGTCCCAAAATCTCTTTTCAACAATCGTTAATATGTCCCAAATAAGTCAGAATTTTGGTAGGAAAGATGGATGCAAAAGTCCGTTTATTCCCATTACTGGAGGGGCTGAAATAAGTTAGCAAATTTCGTTCACGATGCGTCAACTAGAAATCTTCAAACAAGAGCTATCTGAAGGAGTCGTACTTTAATATAATTTTTATGACATCCTGGCAGCTGTGCATGGATCCTTGCGATATGTCGCCACATATTTAATCCAAGAACAATGTTGATAAAGTTACCACAAGTGTCACGATATAATCTGTAACCTTACCCTTTTTAATTTCAGCAGTATCCCCTGATAGTTCAGAGAAATATGGAAGGGCTGCGTGGCACCGTGATCAGAATATCGACAAGAATATAATATCAAATCAGTGCTCTGAAATCACATTATTTCAGAGCACTGATTAGATATTATATTCTTGTCGAGATCCCCTGATAGTAACGTGTTACTCAAAATATGTATTATCAAATAAACACAATCTTGCTATCCTTAGATAGCAATCTTGCTAATCTTAGATGTCCAACGCACTAAACACTATCCATCAAAATTTTAAACACGTTAGCTTTTGAAGATGTCAACAAACCGAAAGCAAGAAATGTTTTAGAAAAATGTTTCATCGCTAAACACGACTTTTGTAGTGAAAAGTAGCAAATGCAAACGATAGGTTGCAAGAACGGTGGAGGGAAAAAGTAATATAAATGCGGATATGTACATTGGTTATTTAAAAAATTCCAGACTATAACCTACCTGCAATCCAATGAATTTGATATTATCCGCGCTCTTAAGAATCACTCGAGCCATCTCGGCATCAGAATACCTAAAATCTTCAAGTCTTCGAGGAGGCTGAAGGCGCTGGAGATCATCTATCGAGGCGTTGAGGGCTAAGGCTATTGTCATAAGACTGTCGTAAATACGTGCTATTTCACTCACTGGTTGGTGTCGGTTGAAGTATTCGTAATGTTCTGGCAAAGGCTTCTGTGAATTGCAAATTGTAGTGAATCATTATTTCGCAAAATTCCCAGTAGATCCAGATAAAGTGGAACAAGGCTCTCACTTTTCACTTTTAGAGGGCGTACATATTGTCTTTTTCTCGCACTGTGTCGTGTGCTATTTACCGGTGATCCTGTAACTTTTAAAACGTATATCAACCGATGAGCAAATATTTCATGCTCTGCTTGTAAATTCAAGGTTTTGCTCTCCAGTGGCGCACGCTGTCCCTTTACATAAATGCTGGATTTTCCCCCTGATTAACAAAATACACTATAATTAAATTGGGTCTACTTTTCAACAACGGCAACACGCTGTGTGGAATATTCTTTAAATGTTTGACTATTTATTCTAAGCTGATCCTCTCATACCGTTGTGCATTAACGCACTTTGATATATATTCTGAAAAACTGGGATTTAACGTTAGCAAGAATAGGAGCAACAGCGATGACTCCAACAATAAACAAACATTACAACGGAAATAACAGAAGGAAACAGTACAAATGTCAGTGTCAGTTGTGCTACAACTTTGATATCGGTCCATCAAAAGAATGATGCCGCTAAATGCACATTGTGTCTCAGAAATTATATAGAACCCCTCCCCCTCATTAACAGTGCCGAGGAGACAACCATAATTGTAAACAAACACGGCTAAAATTTTGGCAAATTCATTTAGACTTTTATTTTCGATTTACATACCACGCCATTGTAATCAAGATCTGTCAAGTTCACTTGGCTCTGACTTCCCCTGAAATGAAAGGAGCCTTTAACAGCCTCGATGATCTCCTCCTGTGTACATGGATGAATGGATGTTGATGAAGGATGCACCCACCATAGGCTATTACCTGCCCAAAAAGGTGCTATCCATACGTACTTGGAGCCGCATAGTCCAGCCAGATAAGCCTGTAAAAAATGCTTCCGTAAGTTAAGACGAACACATACTGTTTTTACACTGTGATATTAAAACAATACTTTCAGTTCTCAGATAATTACAGGAGAGATATGTTCCCTTTTACAATTGAAAGCGTCAACATTTTAGAAATGGTGCATCTGCCTTCCATTGGTGATGAGGCTGCAGGATTCTTTCACGGCTGAAACAATAATGGACTTTTCTTTTTGGATAAATTTCCGTTTTGTCCCCTTCCCGACTCCCCACTCGCCATTGATGCAATTTGCTGACTAGTTCAAAATTGTTTGAACCAACTACACTAAAAGTGTTCTCTTCATTAAATTCAATTCATCCTATCCATCCATTACAACCTCTTACCTTACAAAAAAGCTTTAACGTCTCCAGCCTGTAAAATCCAGTATGTATGATCCTGACATCCTGGCGCTGTCATGCACAAATATACAAATGCATTTAGTTTAAACAAGTTAGGCCTACTTTAAGTTATTTTATGTCCAATTTGAAATAATTCCTTTTTAAAATTTATATAGAAGCGTATATAATTAGCCCAAAATATCTTCATCTTGAAAAAATTCCTTGCTTATACCTTTAAGTTCTGAAGATGACTGTCTAAGTTATTAAGGTCTTTAACACCTTCCGATGCTACAATGTTGATGTTGTAAGCTTCTAATATCACTTGAAAGTCTTTCATGTGCTGCAAAATAAGCGGTTTGAAAATGCCCAGTTTCAGTTATTGTCGGAAGAACGGCATGAAAACGTCTAGAAATATTATTACGCAACACACCTCAGACATACATCAGACAGACTTTACCGTTTGAAAGGTATTACTTTCCTCGAAGATAAATGCAATTCTTTTCCATCCCATTCGTCTAAAGAGGGCAGCTTCTGCTAACAACCGCGCCCTGAAGGTTGGATGCGCTCGGACGGTGTACGGGTAAATTGACCGGTTTGCTAATCTGTCATCACGAGACGCTAAACCAATCTGCAGTGATGGTACGGAAGAAAAGCAGGTCGACTACCAGTACTTGTTGGTGTAATAAGCCACAGGAAGGGTTCTGAATGCACTATATATATATCGCCATTTGTATACCTATCGCCATTTCCTCACACAATTCTGTTGAAAATGTTCCGACGGCGTGGAAGTCGTGGAATAGGCAACATCAAATCGTCTGCGCTCGTTCAATCACACTGCAGCTTTTACTTTAATAAGAGTCTTTGTGCTGATTTATCAACCCTTTTCACCCACGTGACTGGATTGCGCTAAATGTAAACAAACCACTACGCGAGGACCGACATGTATGCAGGGAACTGTAATGACTTGCCTGGACAATGTTGAATCTTGCTGCTACCTGATTGACTACAGTCGCTTCACCTGAATGGTGAGGGCCGCTCGTGATTACAACAGGAGGTTCAGTGGACACCAAATTGTACAGAACCCGCAGTGCTTCTTCAGGATCAGCATTCTATGGCAAACAATCAATTAAAATGCTGCACAATACAGATATATTAAGAGAGATGAAAATCCCGGAAAGAATAATCCGTTGTTCGGTTTACTTGGTAAAATCACTTTACAGGTGTGGACTTGGTACAGCAGCTTCAAGTGATCCTTCCACTTTCTGTACTTTTTTTTTTAGCTTATCTCCCTTGATTCCAGTTGTGTATGTAAGCTAATATCACACAGCACATTGTTTGAGACACGTATTGAGTATGTAATATGCAACTCTGCTGTGGACTGGATTAAGTCTGAATCAGATTGCAAGCAGCTCTATCGCGTGAGCTGATGACGGGGCAACTATGAATCAGGATGGCTTCTAGTAAACGCCTGGGAGTAATTCAGGGGTTGTTTGGGAGCTTCATATTCATTCTTTGTAACCAATGGTATCATCCAATGCTTCAGCTTCTGCCACTGGCTATTATAGATCTTGGGAAAATGGGAGCCGAGTACGTTAGTCTCCCAATGGAGCTACGAACCCTCCATGGTCTCCCCAGCGCATATAGCCTTTCCTTAACAGGACTCCAGCATGCATTGTCTCTTCGTGGTAGGATCAACTGTTGCTGTTCCAAGCTGAACTGCATGTTAGAAATATGGAGCAGGTTGGAGCCCCAGATGTGCAGCGCGCATGGCCCATTACCATACTACCAACACTTCATGTGATGCTGGAGGGGAGAAAAACCACGATTTCACATAGTGCCACAGCTGCCCTATAATGTGCAAGGCAACTGAAGGCAAAGCATTATTGTAAAGAGGACGCCAGTTAACTTTCATGCCCTATATGTGGTCCCGATGACGTTCGCTGTTATACAGATGGAGGCCAGCTTCTATATTAACAACCTGTAGAAGTGAGGTTTGATATCACACTTATTTTACTATTTGTATGATCCCATTAGTTTACTAATAAAGCAGATCATTAAAAAACTGCTGAGGATGCACTGACCAATCAAAATTACACAGCGCTCAAAACCACAGCTAGCAAAGTCAGTCTTAAGTTGCATTTGATAGTGTGCCTGTGATTTCTAGCAATGTGCATCGCGTCGTGGAGTTGGGTTCTAATGTCGCACAGTGCTGTTTCCTCAGTACTGATTAATACATTGCAATGCGACACGATGCGATTCCGCGACGTATATTCGTCTTCAGACTATCATTCCATCTTTGTCTTTTCTGAGATGTGTAATGACGACAGTGATGTAACTAAGGTTTTCTGAGGAAGGGGGTGCACACGTTGAACTTCAAGAAAATGAAGCAATAACAGTATTTTTCAGACGATCAAATGAAACAAAATATCAGTTTTAGAAAAATGTGTTGCTCTGAGTCAATCATGGCCAATGTAAACTCTGCCACAGCCTCTCGGTCTCTGTGAGTGGAATGTAAACCTTGCCACAGCCTCTCGGTCTCTGTGACTGGAAACTTGAGTGCAGTTTCCATGGACCCTCAGTAGGTATCAAAATAATGATCAAAGTAATGCAGGATTCTTTCACGGCTGAAACAATAATGGACTTTTCTTTTTGGATAAAGTTCTGTTTTGCAACTCACATTCTACTCGTGGTTTCTCGTCACATTAACGGGAACTGCTCTTGTTGTAGAATACAACTTCCGTTTTCATGCTGGTAAAATTTTGACAAAATATTGAGTCATAATAGTGCCAGAAGACAAGATAATCACAATGAAAACAGTTGATATGCTGGATTTTGGTTATGGTGTAAAAAACCCTAGTAACTTACATACTAGGAAGAGATCAATAACTTTCCGTTGACACCTGAGCTGTTAACTGCTGTGCCAATTTCTTCATCAATTCGAAGCAACGATCCAATCTCGACTAGCTCAAGTGGTAAGATGTTTTTAATCCAGTAATAGAACAATATTGTTTGCAATAGAGCACGATCAATCGGCACGAAACTGGTGTACAGCCAGGCTTCGCGGTCTTTTTGTACTCGTTATTCCGGTAGTCATGAACTAACCACGTACTGATATCAGTAAAGTTACCTGGATATTGGACATTGGACCGGGAATATCTCGTTGTACTTCATTCGCTGTAGAACCCTATGAGAACGTCACTGCAATAGATGTGGTCTACAGGCAAGGAAGTGTTTTGCATTGCCGAGACAATTTTTTGGGCACTTAACTTGCCTACCTGGCGAATCTAGCCAATTCGGTGGCGGCTTTAAATTTCACGCCGACAAAACCTGCTGTGTGCAGGTGTCTTAAAGCAAGCTGACATCAGACTCTGTCACATTCAGCTCCACTCCCTTACACTCAAAATTTCGCGGTCTTCCTTTCTTCTCAGAGAAATGTTGTGATCCATAAACGCAAACGCAACCCTTTTCAACTACTACCATTCTTTCACACAATTCCCGCAGTTACAGAAACAAACATAGGCCTATCAATATCCACGACTACACAAAACAACAAATTTAGGTCATCCAACAAACAGCGTTTGGGCAGGTTGAACTCAAACTACGACTTAATCTTGAACGGCTGGAAAGGAAACGACCGCGAAATTACATGTATGCGATTGGTCTGAACCTTTGGTATGATCAATGATTCGGGGTTGCGCGAAAGCCATAACGCGCATAATAAATAGGCCTCAAAATGAATTTGAAACAATTCTTTCGAATTCCCTCATCGTAGATGGTTGTCGGAAGTATCTCGGTTCTTTAAAACATACAACTGCAGGGGCAGTAACGTCTTCATTGGAGTAAGACTTTCCACAAAAAAGGGTAACCCTTTTATTCCAGAACGGGTGATTTGGGTCTAATTCCATTATAGAAAGACCGATTTTTACTACGACAGCCCCAAAATTCTTATATAAAACATTCTTCAGCTAGCCGTGGATCGCCAAAACAAGGATATACCCGAAATTGTAAAGACCAAAACTTTGTTGCAGTTTTACACGTTGCGATATTTATCCCCCAAGTCAAACACAGTATTTCATCTTCACTTGAAGGAAGCTCAGTATGTCTATTATTAAAAATAGACAGATTTTTCAACTAGACAACGATTACTGGAATATTAACAAATAAAGACAAAAGGTCAAAACGGACCCCGAACGAAGGGAATCTTCCACAAAATGTGTAGGAAATTGTAACATGCAAGAAATACTCCGTACTGAGTATGCTTTATTTTTTGGGTACTGCAAGTGCTCACACATGACCGATATGGCCAATTACAAGTTGATATATTTGGATCAGCGAAAATTCTCCAGTTTGAATTTTCAAGTTTCCTGCAAGGTAATGTTTCGGTGCTGCACAGGCGGCTTGGATGAAAGCTCGGTTCTAAAAGTCAAATAAACTCTGTGCTCAGAGGAAACCGATCGGAAAACTGTGGGGAACAATACCTTCATCCATCACGAGGAACAAGTCTGACGAGACTGCATTTAGAGACAGTTTCATCAGTTTTTACTTTCCCTACACGTATAGGACAAATCTC